TAAAAAAAAAAAAAAATGAAGTAGTTTTATATAGATTTTTTTTTACTAGTTATAGGAATGTATACTTCTTTCATAAAAAAAAGAGGTACTTTTAAAAGCGTACAAAATTTATTTTGCAATTTTCGACTTATTTCTATCTTGACCTGAATTGAAGAAAAATTTCCCCCTCCGATCATAAAAACATGTTGGTAAAATTTTACAGCCACCATTTTTATATTCTTACAAACCATTGCTTCGTTTCAAAAAGTGTAAAAAGTGTAATATATTATTCGGATATTTCTTTTCTGATCTCAGTTCAAGGAAATCACTTTATATATATATAAGAAAAACACATAATAAAAAAAGAGAGTTAAAAAAAAAAATTGCCAAAAGATTCGATTCGAAATATTTCTTCTTTACTTTGAAATTTATATTATTTTATATACTTCATTTTTATTTATATAGTATATAGAAATTTTAAAAATACTTTTTCAATATGTTCTTTCAAATCTGTCGATTGTCAAAACATTTAATTTTTCAAAATTTGGACGTCAAAAAAAAAGTTTTCCAAATAATTTTACTACAAAAAAATTTTTATTTAAATTTAAATTTACGTAATAATAAATTTATTTATTATAAATTTAAATAATAAATTTCTTTTATTATAAATAATATTTTAAAAAAATATTTTCAGTTTTTTTTTCTATGTAAAATAATGAGGTATTAAACATGATTTAATTATCGGAAATAATTTCAATAGCTATATATATATATATATATATATAAATACACGAATTGAACTGTGGGGGGAAGTCATTTGCAGTGAAATGAGACCTATCAGACAGGTTGATTATTAAGCAGTGATTTAGATTGCCATTACCGAGTTCGTTGGTCATACGTTCGACATATATGACGTGTGGCAGGTGTGTCGAACATTCTTGGTGATTCAGACATTAATGTTATGTGGGATATTATTGGTTCGAAGAACGTGCTTATCGGCCAACACGGGTTTACCATTGAAATGTGAAATAATAAATATATGACATATCCTACAGAATTGAAATATTTCTCATTATCCCCTGTTGTACTATTTCTATATTAATTATTATTACTATTATTATATTGCATTTTTATTATTATTAGATAATAATAATATTATTATTAATAATAATAATTATTATTATTATTATTATCATTATTATTATTATTATTATCATTATTATTTAATTGAGTGTAACATTACTATACTATAATCACAATATATAAATGAGAGTCGTGAAGTTAAGTCAATTTATTTGAAATTTCCATCAGAGATCTGAGTGCATTTTCAAATGAAATTACGACACTGTAATTTCATGAGAACTTTGTCAGGTACCAGTTTCTCTGGAGCGATACGCGTATGAGGTCTTCTCATCATAAATTATAAAATTTATACCGCCTACATATTGAAAATCTAATATTGCAAAAATTTGATTTTAAATAATTACAGTACCATACTTTCTTTCAAAATATTATCACTGAAAAAAATCAATATTAACGAAACAAATTATCATCATTACTATTATAATAATTGTAATTATTATTACTATTATTATTATTATTTTTTTTATTAATTAATTATTACTAAAAGTTAAGAAAATATTTTTACAGATTTTCTTTATAATTTTATGAAAAAATAAAAATGGTGTACATTAATTTTGGAAAATCTGTAATAACAGCAGATTACAGTTAGAATCACAAAATTTTGAATTTCAACTGGATGTTTAACAACTAAATCTTGTGTTATATGTATACAGTGTGAAAACTTTGTAAAAGGATTAAGCCTACTTAAATTAGTTGTAACCATATAAGGAGATTTGGATAATCTTTTTGTATATATTAGAAAATTCATAATCAATTTTGAATTTTGTCTAATTTAAAGGAACACATAAGCCAATTTACAAGTTCAACAAAGACCCTTTAATTAAAATACACTGTAGACAGGATGTATCTTTGTTGGATTAAAGTAGACTTAAAACAGGGTTTAAACGATAACGAAACTTAGATACATTGTACCCACAAAGTACACAATTTCGAGCAATTAAAATTTTATAATTAGAATTAAATTTCTTAGCAGCTATATAGATTTCACATCGCATCGATAATTGAAAATAAAAATATATATACAAAAAAGAAAAGATAATTTGTATTATAAAAAAAAAATTGTATTTCATTTTGAAAAAAAAAATGTAACGATTTTTAGGAAACAGAATATTTGTTTGGTATTCAACTTATGGTTTAATTTCAAAAAGTGATCGGAAAGCATTCGGAAAAAAAAATTCATTGCAGATATACGTCGGGAAATGTAAAAAAGAGAAAATCCATTTAAAAGCTTCGAGTTTATCGCTCTTTTATCACAAGCGATTTTAAATCAGCTTTTTCAAATACACATCGAAGAGATTTTTAAAAGCAGGAAATCGTTTACCTGCAGAAACGAATTTTTTTTCTCCCCCCACCCCCCTTTTTAGTAAATGTCAATAAACCAATGACTTTTGTATACGATAATGAAATATTTTTATTTAAAAACTTTTTCAAATATGCCTAAAAATTGTGCCAATATATAATTATTATAATAAAAAAAAAAAAACTACACGTAAAAATTTTGAAAATATTCAAAAACTATAACAAAAATTTGGATCAATTTCAACGACAAATTTGATTTAATTTTGTCGTCAATTGGCAATATAGAAGCGTTTCAAATTTCATCTCTAATTTTCAGTAATTGGCTTCGAATTCAGTCACTTCAAATGAGTGAAATTCCACTAATTCTATATACATATATATAAAATCTAATTCTAATTTGTAAATTAGGAAGTTTTGTTCTTATAGAAGAAAATATACTAAAATTAAGAGAATTTCATTTAAGTGTGCACAAAAGAAAATGAACAGTTCCGTTTAATACCTACTTTGGAAATGTAATTACAAGATGAACTCTCTAAATTGGAATAATTAATGAAAAGTGATCCACTAATTAAAAATTGTTAATTATAATGATGTAAAATGTCTGTTAATTGTTAGTTAAAATTTTCCTGTTATCGCATGACAAATTTGAAAATTATAAGTAACAAGCAAGAAACTATTTTCCAAAAAATAAATAAAGAAAAAATTATAAATAAAATAATAAATAAAATAAAAAATTTAGAAAAATAAACTTTTAATAATAATATTTAATTATTTTAATTAATAATATTTAAATTTTAATAATAAACAATATTTAAATTAGCGGATCTCTGTTTCGTATGACTGATAATTTACTTGTCAAATATATTTGAAAATAAAAAAAAAAAAAAAAATTTTTTTTCAAAAAGATCAAATTTTCCACTTTACAGAGTAACTATAGTTTTTGAGATAAATATTGACAAAAAGTTATATATGTTGAATTTAGAAACGTGTGCATTGTTAAACATGATATAAATTTGAATTTCATTAAAACTCTACCGCAATTTTCACACAAGTGTAAATAATGTTTTATGAACTTTCGTACGTGTGTATTTTTGGTTCCGGTACGTTAGAATGCAAATAATTTTAATTACTTTCAATTTTTAATTAATAATGGTATCCAAATTTCCAAAAAGAAAATAATAATAATTTAATCAGGAAATTTTTAATTAGATCCCATTAAAAATAATAACGACAATAATAATAATAATCATAATAATAATAATAATTTAACCAGAAAAATATCAGTAATCTAGATGTATAGCTTTTATGACTTTACACGACAACCACATAAACATGAAATAGTAAAAAATTCCGTTAAAGTTGAAACGATAACAAAAAAAAAAAAAAGGAAAAACAATTCAATCGTGATTTTTTTAATTAAAAGAAAGTATAGGTACATTTTTCGAGATTCTATAAATTAATTATATTTTAAAAAGTAAAAAAAATAATTCTAATTTCTTATCAGTCGATAGCAATTAATTAATTAATATTATTAAAAAATATTTTTATTTTTTTTTATTTAAAAAAAAAACGATTTTTCACAAAATTAAAAAATTTCAATTTTTTCCTGAATTTATTCGAAAAGTAATGCTTACTTTTTTTTAAAAATTATTTTTATCTATTTTTAACAAACTACCATATATTTGAAAAATGGTAGACTCCTTTTGAAATTTTGTACATGGCAAAGATGCGAAAAACCTGTTTCTCAAGAAAATAAGCTATGATTTATTCAGAGAGTATCAGTTTCAAAATTTTAGAGATGAAATTTTATAAAATATTTATATATAATAAAGGAAAAAAATATTAAGTAAACAATGCTTGCTTGTTTTCAATTTTTCTTTAAAAAAAAAAAAAAAAAAATTATTACTTTTTTCTATCCTTCAGAATAAGAAGTTAATATTTTTTTTAAATTAAAATTTTCTTTTTTAGAAAATATTATATACAAATATTAAATTTTTCTTCAATTATTCAAATCATGTAAATGAAATTATATTTAAATCAAATAATTAGAAATATCTTCAATTATTCAATCAAAAAAATTGAAAATATATTTCATTTAAATAATTGAAAATTTATTCAACTATTCAAACAAATAATTGAAATTATTTAAAATTATTTAAACATTTAATTACCTTCAAATTTTTGAATAAATTGCAAATATTCAAATATTAAATCAAATAATTAGAATTATTTTCAAAATAGATAATTTTTTAAAAACCAAAAATAAAGTTTCAAGTGACTAAAATCAGGATTCCCGGTACGTTGACCCGATCTCGCGAGTAATACTTTTTCTCTTTTCGCGTTTGTACAACTTGACAGCCTTTCAATTACTTTTCCTTAATTAAATTTTTTTACCCTCAACCTTAGAACGCTTTTCTTTTCACCCTTTTTGGAAAAGCTTCAAATTCATGTGTTTGTCAATAGGATACCCTGTGTCTATTAGTTAACTCAGAGAAGTTCTCATATTGCAAAAGGGGTCCATCACCTTATCCTAGGGAATTATACTACATATATATATAATATATTAATTAGAAACTCACGTGAACTCAGCGTCAATATAGCAGTTTCCCGAGAATGAGCAATCCTTGACAGTGCAACTATTTTGATTAGCCTGGTCATCAGTCATCTCATAAGTGATATTAAATCCATAAACATCAAGTAAATTATCCAAAACTCGTATATGATGTCCTTCAAGTCGTTCCAAATGAAATTCAATCACAAGAAATGGCATATATGTTTTAAACCATCGATATTGAAAAATATTCGCCTCATTAATTTCATTAAGTAATGTCCCTCCAAAATTGGAATTTTCCGATTCGTAATATGCATATTCAGTGAATTTAAGTCCCGAATAGACAAACAATTGAGTAAAATAAATAACAATTGAACCATTCGTTGAGAGAATTTCGGATGCGTCAATGATCCATCGACAATTAATTGGCAATGGAAATGCACGTGGAAAATTTGGTGTTTGAATAATTCCACGTCGTCCAACCAAATATTCATTACAATCTGATGAACTGTCTGTTTTTAATACAACAATTAGACAAAGAAGTAATAGCGTCAATACGTTAATAATGCCGGAAGAGGTCGACCGCATTTTTATCCGGTGCACCTGCAACAGAAAAAAAAAGAAAAATAAACGAAAATGAGCTTTTCGTCGGGTCATTTTTTTACGGGTAAAGTGTAATTGGGGGAAACCTCTTTGGGTGGCTTCCAAGCTGAGAGTGGAGGCTTTGCGTCATTTACTGCTTGAGAGGTCCTCTAGAGGAACAAGAGTTTCCTCTTTTTTTTTTCCTCTCTTCTTTTTTTTTATACGTATATATATATATATATATATATATATATTCCCTCTACAACTCTCAGTCACAGTGAATCGTCAAGGGAAACGACGATAGTGCCTTTTTCACTGGCCAAATACTTTGGATCTTTCATTTCGTACTTATTTACCGGGGAATTGTCTTTTAAAACTTTTGTTAATCTAATAATTTATTCACTCGATTAATTATCAAGGGATTTCTCTTTTTGGAGATGGATGAAGAATTTTTTTTTACCTTTTACATTCGTTTCATGACATTATCAAAAGAACGAGAATTATTCTCATAGTTTTTTTTTTTCTATAATGAACAATTTTTCATTGAAGTGACAAAATAAAAATTTTTTTTAAATAAAAAATTAATTTATCTTAATTATACCGATAATGATCGATATTATTATTATTATTATTATTATTATTATTATTATTATTATTATTATTATTATTATTATTATTATTATTATTATTATTTCAATCTGATTATTGTAGAAATAAATTTTTGATATTAAATAGACTTGAAGAAAGGAACAATAAAGTATTTCTTTAAAATAAAGTGAATATTTACTTTATTCTCGGCAACTCGATTCAAAAGTTTTTCAATGAACTTAACTTTCCTTTAAATAATTCTGTTAAAAACTTTCTTAGTATAAAATGACTTGTGGCTGATATTCGCCGCTACTATTCATCTATAAATTTAATTTTTTAATTAAGCTTTACTAAGTTTTTTTTTTATTATTATTCTAAACTTCTAATAACTAATTATTAATAATAAAATCAATAAGTTAATTATTGTGATTTTGTAATTTATTATTTTTTTGAAATGCTCGTAAATGTTGCAGGTCACATTAAAAATTGATGCAATAAAATATTAATATTTATTAAAATTATAAATAAAATTATGAATAAAATATTATAGATAAAATTATAAATAAAATTATATTTTTATAATTGTGCATAAAAAATTATAAATATAGTTGCCAATAAAATTGTTAAAAAAAAAATAATACATACACGCGGAAAAAAATCTTTATCTGGAACAGCGATATGTTTCTCTAGAATGGCAAAAACTTTTGCTGTTCTATAGGTAAAGATTTCTTTTCGTATAAAATTATAAATAAAATTATAATTATAACTAAATTTTAAATAAAATTATTACCTATTATTATATTAAAAAATAAATATAAATTATTGTTAAATAAAAAAAAAATTGCTAAATTCGAAATTGTAATAACGAAAATTTATTACTTAAATAATCGAAATTTCGCAATAATAAACTAGAATAATATATATATATATATATATATATATATATATTAAAGGACCATTTTAGATATAGTTTCCACATGAATCTGCAGATAAGAACACACGTATACAAATAAGGGTAAAATATAGATATATATCTATAGATGAAGTGTCTAAGTAATTGGTCCAGTTGAAATAGAAAGCCTTTTTTTTTTTATTGTTCCATGCAGTATCGATGGCTCTTGTGAATAATGATCTATCGTTTTGTTCCCATTTATATAGGGAACTCGGCGAAAATTTTCGTTATTGGAAATGAATTCATCTAGGAATTCATTTCGAAATGGGAGAGAGAGAGAGGAAATGAAATTTGTTAATTTACGGACCATTAAAGCGAAAAGGGGTAAAGGTCACATTTGAAAAAGCGCAGTTTACTGAACTTGTTGAATGAACAAACTTGTTTTAATGTATATATATATATATATATATATGTGTGTGTGTGTGAATGGCAAATGCAATTTTCAAATCGAATTAGAGACGAAAACTTTTACTTTTTGTTTTGTTTTTCCATATATATATATATATATAGTAATAAAAGAGAATTTTTTTTTCGCGCAGCAGGGATTGAAAACTTTTAATTATTTGAAAATGCTTGTTTTGCTGCATAAACTTTCCTAAGTATCATAATTGAGAAAACTTCTCAATGTACTTAAGAAGTGTTTACGCTTATTTCAAACTAGCATTTTAAATCGAGGGCTTTAAAAAAACTTTGTTTTTTTTTCCTTTTTTTTCAAAATCCTCTACAAAGAGTCGTATACTTATTTTTTTTTTCAAGTTTCTATATGGACCAATCATTATTTTTTTTTATGCAAACGATGTAACTTTTTTTGTATTTACTTTTTATTTTTAATATAGAAAGTTAAAAAAAAATGGAAAAAATGTTTATTAAAAAAATATGTATTTAAATAATTGTAAAAAGAAATTGAATAAATTTATAAAAAGTGATAACGAAATTATGTTTTATATTTTAACGAAAAGAAATAATTGAGGATCAGTTTTCAAACTATTATTATTATTATTATTATTATTATTATTATTATTATTATTATTTGAATTTAAATATTGAAGTTGGTTTGCATGCTACATCAATATTTCCCATTGTTGAAAAGTGACGCGTTCTCCATACCCTTAAACGACTACTACTCCTGACAACGACAAACGCTAGAGGCAAAATTTTGTTATTAAATATCTCAAATAGAAACCCAGGAATATTATATTCCATGCGACACAAAGTTACAATTTTGATATCTAAACTACCTTTCCTTTTACTTTATTATTATTTAAACTTTACATAGAGCTGAATATACATTTCGAAATAAATCTCTAGTATTTATATATATATATATATAATGAATAAGAGAAAATATAATACATTACTAAATATCGAATATTAAAATATCATTTTCAAATTTAAAAAAAAAATTATTAATAAAAAATATATATTTTTTTATATAAATGAAAAATTTTATATACAAACAATATTTTAAAAGAGTGGATAGTGTACCTACAAAGAAAAAAATATATATAGAATTTTTTTTTTTTTTCTAAAAAAAGGGTATTTTTTCTCTTTTTGTAATTTGTGCTAAAATATTTCAACTATTTTTTTAAAAACTTTTTTAACAAAAAAGAAATTAAAAAAAAATGTTTCTCCAAGAAAATATCTAATTCAAAATGTTCTTATAATAAACATTTTAACGTATCCCAAGTAGAAATATCCGTAGCTCGCCGTAATTAAACACCGGCATGGTACTGATCCAATACTGGATGTCGGTATTGACTTTCAGTACTGGCAGTGTACTGACTAATACACCGAATCAGTACTATGTCGGAGGTAAAAAAATATTAAAACCAGTACTGGCAGTACACTGTCATTCACACCGAATCAGTACTATGTCGGTGATAAAAAACATTAAATGAAAAAGTCTTTAAATTATTCCAATAGATAGAAAACGATGATTTTTTATTTAAAAAAATGTATATTAATTTCCTTCGAATACTTTCCCTCAAAATTTTGGATGTAATTGTAATGTATTATTATATACCTATATAAAATATATTTATGTTTTTTAGTTATTTTAGTACTCATTGAAATATGTGCATTAAGTTATTTATCATGCATACAATAACAATAAGTTGAGAATTTTTTTCTAATAGTTTTAAAAATAAAGCAAATGTAATTTTTTCACTGTAATTTTTAAATATTATTAATAATTAAATATTAAATTTAAAAAATTTTTCACCATTCATATTTTACAGTCGTCTTTTATTAACTTATTTTTAATTATGTAATTCATCAATCATTTTTGTCTGTTTTAATATTATTTACGGTAAAAATAATTTATTAAAAATATTTAACTGAAATTGATATCCAGTTTTATTTCATTAAATCTTTGTAAAAATTGAAAAAATTTTGTGAGTTTAAAAAATTTAAGAATGAATTCATTTTATTTTCGTGATCAATAGATAATACAAACTTTGAAATCAAAACTTTTGTATTAGGTGAACTACTTCAAGTCAGCACTTCAAGCCAGCGCGGCTGTGCGGTATGCGTATCTGACTTGCGTTCCAAGGGTTTAGGGTTCGATCCCCCATGCGTGCGAGATTTTTCGTTCTTAGTTTTAAGTGTTATAAGTACAATATTTGTTCATGTGTAATATCAATTATTAAATAATTATTAAATTATGTATAAGTGCAAAGTAAAAAAAATTAAATATTAAGAATTTAAAAAAATAAAAAAATTTACAACACAAATTATTTTTTGTAAAATAATTTATTAAAAATAAAATAATTTAATTAATATAAATGATAATTATTATTTTAATTATTTATTGTTAATAATATTTTATATATTCTAAATAACATTAACTATTATTGGCTTCACATTACCTGTTCGTGGTAAAAATGGGAGTAATAAGCTAATAAGGATGAAATTTGCATTGGAAAGCGTGTTTTAGCATTTTGTAAAAAAGTGAGATTTTAAGTCCGGATGAGTACTTTGCCAGTATTATGCCAGTATTATTCTAGTACTACGTTAGTACTGGTGAGCGGGACAAAATCAGTACTGGACAGCGTTACCAGCCAGGGTTGGTCCACTACTGGCCCAGTACGGCAGTCAGTACCGTTATACTGACTGGCAGTGTTGGGTCAGTACTATGCCAGTGGTACATTTCTACTTGGGTATATATAAAAGAAATCACATTTAAGCCAGTTATTGGATTTGAAAAAAAGTGGTAAGTCGTTAAAGGAAGGCAATAATCGGGTTTAATCCACTGTAATTGAATTTTCATTAAAGTAATTGATTTTCATGTTCCACTTAAAATTTTAACGTATAAAATTGGTCGCCTATATATAGATATATATATATATATTAAAATCCACAAAGTAGAAATTGTAACATAAAACGAAATGCAAAATGCAAATGGAGCAATAAAAAAAAAAATTTTTTTTTCAAAAGTTCACAACTCTGGTAATTGGCATATGAAAATATGCAAACATGTACT